TCTTGCCAATATACTCATAAAAATGATGTTTGTGTCCAGATAATTGGGTTGAGAATTATATAGTCATGTCATTCGGTTCATTACTGATCACTGATAATCAGCTTAACTCAAAATTAGGCAAGAATAAACAACTGTAAATCTCATATGATACGGAAAATTTTACTGAGGTCTACTTTCCAACGTATAATTATCATTATTGTTTGTTCCTTGGGTTCCTAGTGGAACATAAGGCTCAGTAGCATGACGTCATTTTCTTTTCTTCTCTGCAGTCTGCCTAACCTGGCTCCATGACTGCTCAGAAGCTTTCATTTCCACCCAAACCATCTCCTGCATGTCACCGTCACACGCCCATCTCGTCGTTTCTCCTCTGGATTCCACTTGACGGCCTGGCAGATGATGTCCCAAAATGGCGTCCTCAGTGCATGTCCAATCTACCTCCACTTTCTTCCGCATACATGTTGGGAGATGGGTTGTTGGTCGGTTAATTGTCAGTCAGAGTGAGTTCCTTGTTGCCTTATCTTACTATTCTGGCCATCTGAGCTTCAATATCAACTGAGTGTAGATGGCAGCTGTTGATGAATGACTGTAGTTTGTTGGAAATACCTTTAGCGACGCACCAAGTCTCTCAATCATCACACAGAAGCACTGACTTGACTGACGTTACTGTTTAAAATCCGGATCTTATCAAGCTTTATGCTGAGTGCAGAAATCTCCACACTGGTTTCTGATTAATGAAAGTAGGCCTGTCTTTCTGTTTTCCCAATCTTGGCTTTCACGTCCTTATCGGTGACGCCACCTGTAGTCGAAAGGATGCTGTCTAGGTAGTAGGTGAGTGGAACAGACAACTTGTTTTAGGTCTCTCCCGTTGATGGTGATTGTTGCTTGTCGTTGATGTCGATGTCGGTTGGATATCTTCATCTCCTCTGCCTTCTCTACGTTCACCTGGAGGAAGTCCCGTCTTCGATGTCTTTTCGGTCAACTTGTAGGTCTTGGCCTGTAGATCTTTGAGTTTGTGCGACATCAGACATAAGTCATCGGCGAAATCCAAATCTCCTAGGCTCTTTTCATTGGTCCAGCCAGTGTATGCCCATGTTCTCGCTCGTCAAAGTTTGTTGCGTAATCCAGTCCATCACGATCAGGAAGATCATTGGCTGTAGTAGGTGGCAATCTTATCTTACTCCTGTCTTCACTTCACTTCCAAGACCACTGAACTTTCCATTGTGGATCACTTGTCATGTAGCATCATCATCATATAGCCTAAAGCTGCTGTTTAGTGAGGCTGATAAAGGTTTGTGGTACTATATGAGTAGTGTTGAAGCAGTTTCCAAATTACTTCTCGGTCGACGCTGTCGAAGGCCTTTTCAAAGTCGATGAGGTTGCGGTAAAGATCCATTTGACTGGCATTCTATGCTCTGTTGTATGATGATGCGTAGTGTAGCACTGTATTTTGATCCACTCATGATTTGTTTTTCCTGAAGTCAGCCAGCCTATTCTAGTCGTAACTTTGAATCCAGAGCACCTTTTAATCTCTCCAGGATGATGAGGCCTAATAATGAGCTAGCCTTTCTTCTAATCGGCAGGCTTTAGGCAGAAGATAACGTTTCGTGTACTGTTATTAAAAGTGTATGACAGTAAAAATGTGCAGTTTTATGCACTATACAATGAGCCACACCTGTATGGTGAGAACTAGTGACGCCACCTCACTACCCAAATCCCGGATTACAGAACTTGATTCAAGCATATGACCCAACGGTGAAAACTCATTCTGCCTTAAATGGTGAGCCACAAAACCAGACGCAGAGGAAGAATAACGTAAAATGACCGCTTCATTGATGAATCAATAAGCTAAGCCTTGAAATGTGATGCGTTCAGTGTTTTGTGACCGCTTCATAAATTTCGCAGAGGAATAAACATAAAGAAGCGGCTGCCTGGAACATTTCTCATGCCTCAGTGATACAATGAACTCAAACGGGCAGTGACGTTTTGTTCGTCAGATGCGCGAGCAGAAACTGAATTTTATCACATTCTAAGAAACCTAATTTTTCTTATTGTTTGAACAGCACAGTGGACGTATTAAGCGTGTGTATATTAGAATGAGTTAAGGATGTAGCTTCAGAAGTCGACGACAATGTTTCACATGTAATAGCTATTGGAAACGTCGAAATCAGTTTTCATGTATGAATGCATAAAATATTCTGCATCATGGTAATATTACAGTTTATGATTTGCTGTGTCTTTCACTCTAAACGTCTGCCTAATTATTGATAGAAACCTTTCTAGAGAAATACATTAGTCGTTAATTTCGTAACGTCCTGTTTTCAACCAAAAAGAAAAGATACAACTTTTTGGGCATACGTTGAGTTGAAAATCACATGATGTTTTTAAAGAAAATGGATGAAAGGTTATTTCTTGTTGACGAAACTGCTATCTAGAAGAAAATCAGAACTCTTCAAATCGATATTTTAATACCGTATTCTCATAGTACAACGGTTTAATCAAGAAAATTGCTTTACCGAACGGTAATTAACTGTAGTACTTTTAGATTTAACATACTTCTTTGACTAAAAGAAGTCCTAATAACTGCATGTATTGATTTTGAGGTAAAAGATTCCCCTGTTTTCTAGTGTTTTATCTAAGTCCAAAGAAAGCATTATGTTTTGTTCAAGTGATCTTTCTTTGTAAGATCAAATAACTTTTTCCCTCGGATATACATCGTCGAATACTTAAATCAAAGGATAGATATGACCCTGAAATGAACTAGATTATTTTCGGTTATCATAATGTTTTTTAATGTCTAGTTAGAATAAGGATATGATGTAAATTATTGTGTAAGTCATTATTCCAATATCAGTCACGAAAAGAAATATTGGTTTATTTTATGATGAGAGAGATCAAATGTTTTATAGGGAAAATTTGTTCTATTCTCATAACTCATGATAATAGTATTCATATGTGGATTTAGAATTAAACGAACACTGCCTGAAGAAGGCGAAATTCATCGATTTGCAGGACACGACGCACAACTCAAGGTTACATTTCTCCGCAATTACTCAAAATATTGGAACATTTCTCTCTCTCTCTCTCTTTCTCTCTCTCTCTCTCTCTCTCTCTCTCTCTCTCTCTCTCTCTATATATATATATATATATATATATATATATATATATATATATATATGTATATAAATCAGTTTGTCGATCTGAGATGGTTTGATAGACATATAATGACACTGGGTGATGATTGAAGGTACAACTAAGATTTAAAACAGCGGCCACCGGTTTCCAGTCCGAATCTCTACCAGCTGAGCTACAAGACATAGTGGCTGATCAGATCTTAATTTCATTCAAGTGATCAAGAGTTTTGCTCGACTGCAGTATGAATTGGTGACGTCTAACTATCTTTGATCGTATTCGCAACGGCTTCTCAGCTGTAACTTTTCATCTCAATGCAAATGTACTTGTACTACAGAGGGGGAGCATCATATTGATTACCAGTTGGACTGTTTGAAGTAGGTACGGTTTGGCAGACATGTTTCGATCCTGGATGATGTTTGAAGATAAAATGAAAACCTCTGCTTGACGACAGATCTGGCTGGTAGTCAGGTATCGTAGCTCAGTTGGTAGACCACTAGGCGAGTGACCCGCAGGTCTCCGGTTCAAACGTCACTACAGCCTAGACTTTTATTTCATGTTCAGTCGACAAATATATATATATATATATATATATATATATATATATAACGCTTTAGTTCATTTTCATGTGTATCAGCGTAAGTGCATGTAGATTATCCCCTCAATGTCTATGATTCTGTTACACAAATCCATAAAGATCATGTTAACTGAGTTTTTAAAAGTTTGTGCTAATGGTTTCAAACTTCTCCAACTTCAGAAATCACTGACTGAGTGCAATAACAACGACTTTTTATTTTTTGCACACGATAAAATTTTTTGACTGACAGTAAGCAATAGTAGATACATTACTCATTAAAAGTCCAGTCAGGTTGTCTATTATTCACAAAATAAAGAATTTCATCAATCTACGCATCAATTTATTAGTACACAGTCAGAAATGTAGATTTTCTAACAAAATATCCAGCCTAATGTTCATCCTAAAATTATTTTGGTTCTTTCTTTTATGCTCAACTTTTTATGTTGACTTTGTTTTCATATATATATATGTCAGAATATGTTGGCTTAGCATAGAAGTAAAATATAGTTATGCCAGCACTTATGCAAACAGTAAGAAACATCTGCATGTTACACAAAAGTTTCCCCTAGTTGATATTTTCAAGAATGATAGTCAAATTAAGGGTTCAGTGGTATACATTTGATGGTAAATATGCTGACTAATTGAAAAGCTCAGTTTTTTTAAGTTGAAAAACATTTATGAAAATACCTAGCATTAATGATTACTCATCTTGAACAGATAGCTCTCACCTCTTACTGATGCTCATTTGTCTATGAATCTCAGGTCTACAAATTTAAAGAAGTCCTTGTAAAGCTGTAATGGACGGATGAAGATGTTTAGCATGACATATAAATGTTCGCCAACTAAGTCCTCACCTCATAAAACAAGTCATTTTGAGCAATCGCACCCTGAGCAATAATTATTTGTCACATATCCTTCATAGAAACTACGATCCTAGTATTTCAGTTTATCAACTTGCATGAAAGCATCTTTACCAATTAACATATAAACCGTTAAAGTATCAAATCTTAGTATTTTATCAGGATGAAATGTACATCATCTCACTCTATGGTAAAATAACATTACCGTTTTGCCAACGACTACACTACATGCAACCACATTGTTGATAGTGAATAAACGTGGATATTATGCTAATATAACTTACAAGTCTGTTATACATTATGAGTGTTCATGACAACATGATAGAATTCTTATACATGTATATACATAAATGTATATATAAATCTTATATAGGAATAGACTGAAAAGCATTGAAAAGACTTCTGAAAGGTTTACAGTTAACTGCCAAACTTACCATCATTTTTGCGTTCATAACGTGATTTTATGGATGTTTGTGTTTCACGAAAGAAAAGTGGTGGCTCTGCCATACAAGGATGCTTGTTTAAATTTCTTCTGAGTAGATTACATCTGGTTAGGTCATCAATTGAACGACTAGAACGACTATCACATGTACAGTACTTCAAACCAGGCCGACCAAGATTCATTGTCTTCAGGGCAGATTGACACTCTCTTAAGTATTTACGCGGACATCCTAAGAGACTACGTTCTAAAAAATGTAATAGAATTGAAATATTTATCTTATTGAGAATACATAAACACAAATATTTCCTGAACATTCAATTAGGCAAGCGGTAACTATCATATTACCAATGTTTAGAACAAAACGTTTTTCATAGTAAGCTGAAAGTAAACTTGTTTAATAGATAGATTTTATACAGCGGTCGTCAGCTTAAAATAACCGCATTAAAATGATCAGTCAGTTTTCTCTTTCCTTTCATATACGGCTTTTATTCCGAACCTTGTTATCCTGAAAATTGATTCCATGAAAATATAAATTACTCTGACAACAGTCTGTTCATAAAACGTGTAGTTGAAACGTATGAACTATGTGAATTAACGATCGAAAATTGTGCAGTGTCCTATAATCTACTATAAATGCATCTTGTTAAAAACTCTACTGATTATTCGAAGAAATGAGATATCTATTCACACAAAGAAGCTCTGAAGAATCTATCATTGGTATTGTTCCTTAGCATTTTGTATTACGATTCCCCATACCTGAAAAAATATGAAATAAATGGATGCAATAAATAGTTCCAGCAGTCTACACCTATGATCCTATAAGATATCGAATGTTCCCAAGTTTCTAACAGTTATCTATGTGATTCTAGTCAGTGATGAATGCTACCTTAAATATGTTAATATATTGTACAGGTGAATGCATTCTATAACTGAGCTACTTGAAAATCAGAATCAAGTTTTATATGCGTGTGATCACTTTTTATCTGTTTACTGTCTAATATCATGTAATCCGCATAATCATATGCTTTTCTTATTTAGGAAGCAAAATAACTTTACCAACACTTTTTTATTTGGTCTCTTGTATAATGAAAAGATCAATGTTATGCATAATGCTTATTACGTGGGAATCTCAGGGGAATGTTTCTATCAAACATCCCTATTGTAAACATTAGCAAAGGGCAGAAGTTCTGTGGTAGGCCCTACAAAATGCATATTCATTCAATGAGTCATTACATGTTATTTCATAAGGTTAGCTAACTTGTATTTTCTTATTTATCTGTGTTACAGTAGTTTGACAAAATGTAAATTTCCCAAAAAAAGTAAGTGGCTTTACTAACAATAAAAACAGTTGGAACTATTGCATTATGCAATTATATTCTGCTTTATAAATCTAAAAATGCTAACGGAAGAGAATTATTTCTTCTTGGCATAATACACAGACTACTAGTTGACTACAGTGTCTACCTAATTTGATTGTTATTATGCAATTCGGTTAAAATATGAAACAGTTTTTTGGTCACTTTTGTGTGTGAATTTTTGAATAGTTCCAAACTTTTATGATTCTAACAAGGAAATTCATCCTATTTCATGTGAAAATGTTTATAGGTAAAACCTGCAAGCTAACAGACTAATTATACTATCCTACTACACTTATTATATATTACCATGCTGTAAGAAGGATTCGTCTTCTTTACGGAGTTTCTGAATTATGACATTAAAGTCTTAACAGGACATACAAGTGAACAATATTGTTTTCAATGAGGAAAAATAACAGTTACGTGACAATGGAGGATGAGGTAAGTGGATAAACAAAGTCTAAATAAATACAGTAAGCATACAGTTGGGGTGAAGAATAAGGAAGATGTAATAAATAAACTCAGTGATGAAGTTATTAATTAAGTATTAACTGGCCATGAAACAGATAAGGGATGTGCAAACTTCTTCTGGATACAAAAACTAGGATTATTAGTTGGAATTCTCATAGCTTCTATTTTATGTAAAAGACAAGATCAAATAACTTTCGAAAGATGAGATGGTATACGATGAATATTTATGAAAGCAATCTTCTTATCTACCGAGCGAGCATTATCAACTAGGTGAGATAAAAGCGAACTTCTGATGGATTTTATTTGTCCTTTTCCCAACCATGAGAGTAGATGCTAAGCAACATGTCGGTTAATTTGTCTAGTAGTACGCCTTACATAGGTTTTTCCACAGAAGCATCTACACTTGTAAATACAAATAGAAAAGGCAAAACTGGATAACTCATCTTTTGTCTGACCAACAATAATTGGTAGATTAGAGTATTAAAGAAAGAGTTGTGCAAAGTAGAAAGTCTTCGTATGGCTCTAGATAGTCTCCGATATACAACTTCATCTGCATCTCCGCTAGACTGTTATTTCATGAACAACGGTTTCTTTGTACAGCACAAGCCCCAGGTTTGCTTCCTGTCACTTTATTACCGTGTCCTTTTATGAAACTGTTATTGTAGCCCATTGCGACCAGTGAATTGCGAATATATTCTAACTTTTGTATTAAATCATCCAAACATAATCTGGCTCTGTACATGAGGCATTTAACCAGGTTTGCTTGATTTATTTAATTTTTATATATATTAGGCTATTTGTATCATAGTAAAGCCCGAAAACAATATTAAAGTCCATCCATCTCATTATGATTAATGTGAATCCCTATTAAACCAGACCAGAAATACGTCCTGTTAGCTTATATGGTGTACATGCATTCTTAACATCTCATAATATTCAGTGTGACCAATTTTATATTTCAACTTGTTTGACAGCTCAAATATCTCCAGTCCCAACAACACTGACTGGGGCATTAGGTGATGTGAATTCGAATTCATGAAGGGGCATCACTTATGTTGCTAATTGATGCCAAAACAAGTTCACTTATTCTGTGTTGTTGTTTAAAATGAAATCTATGTAAAACCAAGAGATCTGAATTATTTATTCTACTGCAATACACCATGAAATCACTGATAATTACATTTATGTATAAATGTCACTTACCATCGGTCCAATCTCCACAGAATGTCTTAAATATTTCTACATCAACTTTACATATTCCACTGAGTGATTCACAATTGTTTAGTGCCTCCAAACAGTCTGTGCTTATATCTTGTTTTCCATTCATTGAATGAGATGATTTCATTACGTTTGGTTTATTATTTTCAGATTCCGATGATTTAAGTTCATTTTCTATATCATTTTTAACAGATATCTGCGCTTCACTTGATAATGATGACGCTGTAGGTGGAGATGGAATAATAATATTGGCGCGTATATCCCAATCAGTTTGGGCTAAACATTGTGGTAAATGAATTAAACTGATCAAGCATAGATAAGAGTTTAATATTTTACACATTTTAGCGTCCTTCAATATTTTGTTCCACTGTCTATGGCTTCAAATCGATTTGAAACTGGTTTCCACATGCATTCGTCAGTAAATTCATGTTTTTATCTGTTGAAAAATGTTGAAAGTGATAATAGAACAGTTCATCAACTTGTTATATGATAATTTTAATGATGAAACATTTTGGAAAAAACTGTTTATAGCAACTTCAAAAGGCATAGATTGTCACTGAGGAGGTCTCTTCAATAGATATGAATACGGTTTTTGCAGAAAAAAAATGGTTACTGAACACATGCGTAATTCTCAATGTTGATGGATTTATAAAAATACATATATTTCACCAAATCCTTCAACTTTGCATAATTACAAAATAATACAACGTGTAACTTGTTTATCTTCATGAAAACAATTTTGTGATCAGGCACTATTCAACAAGTTGATAGAAGAGGCAGCGAAGGAAGAGGATAATTCAAGTGGACGTAAAGAACACAGAGGTGATGAAAATACCCAACGCCACCACCGCCACCACCACCAACAAGCTCCGATCACCATCAACGGGACAAACTTAAAGGAAGTAACCTCTTTCACCTACCCAGGCAGGGTAGCAGCGTTACAACAGGCAGCGGCACAGACAAGGACGTCAAAGCATCCAGGATCGGAGAAGCAAGACAGACCTTCAATAACCTGAAACCAGTATGGAGATCTACTGCACTGAGCATAAAGCTTGAACAACATCCAGATTTTCAACACTAATGTCAGTCAAGTCAGTTCTTTTATGTGATGGTTGAGAGACTTGGTGCGTTACGAAAGGCACTTCCAACAAACTACAGACATTCATCAACAAGTGCCTAAACTGGTTGTATTTTGAAGCTCAGATGGCCGGAATAGTAAGAGTAGGCAATAAGGAACTCTGGCCTGCCAACGAACCAACCAAGAACCTATCTCGATAAATATTTGGAAGGAAGTGGGAATAGATTGGACATGCACTGAGAAGACCATTCGGGGACATCACGTGTCAGGCACTCGAGTGGAACCCAGATGGGAAACGACGATTTGGGCATCTGAGCCGAGGGTGACATGGAGAAGATGGTGTGTGAGGAAGAAATGAGAGCTTGTGGGCAGATGTGGAGCCAGGTTGAAAAGATTGCGGAGAAGGGAGTGGAATGGAGACGTGCTACAGTAGCACCGTATTCCATTAGGGACCCAAGAGACAAATATTAATATATTTATTGTTCCTCTGATAGGCCTTCACGTTGAATAACCAATAAAGAACGTCTGTTGTTCATAGATATTATAAACAGTAGTCCAGTGAGATGTTCATTTTCCTCTTAACATTTATAGGCAAAGCTTTTTTCACTTTTCTCACACTCAAAATAGGCAATAACATTCATGCCTTTTTGACACACATCAGCCAAGTGGATTATTATCTAAACAAATAATTTCACTGTTCTGAATTCTATCCTTTTTTCGAACACAAAGTTACAATTTTCACATGCTACTTACTTCAACTAACATAAACATGGGGTAACACAGCGTCATTTTTTCCTGGTTCTATATCAGGTTCTATATTTCTGACATCACGGAACCACTTCACTCTGAATCTACGAAGCGTAATTTAACTGTTTACCTACTTTAATAATTTAAGTTTGTTGCCAGTAGTTTTCTATTTTTCGACGCTAGATTAAGAGGAATGTTGGTTTTGTTGTCTAGACGACGTAGTACTGAATTAAAGCTGGTCGGAGTATCTCTACATGGTGCTTCGAAATACAGTTGCCTCACTTTATGAACAAAATTTACATGAATAAACAATAATGCTATTGATTATAATATACTACTTTTAGTTGAATAATTCCCTATCTTTTGATTTGACCATGAAAAGTGGAATGGTGAAGAAGGGGGCATTCTGACATTGGCATTTTAAGAAAGTAGAGGATTTACACAAATGGCGATTTCTGATATCATCACTTATCGTTTTAGCAAGATATGGTATAGCTTGTGACTCAACGACATAATGAGAAACTTTCTAGCCTTTTGAAAAGATTAATTCTCAGTTCAAATTCTTTTGGGAACAACTTCACTCACTGAAAGGCAGGTATATCCAGGTGGTGAATTCCAATAAAACGAAAAGTGTCTCTTGAAATCCACTCGTTACTATTTTAGTATCGGTTCATAATCCCCTAATTTTAAGGAAAATGTTTGATAGACAGTCAGTTAGTGACCACAGTAATGGTACACTTGCAAGAGAATGAGGCATCAATGAGCAGAAAACTTTGACCAGAAAAATAAAATAAAAATACACAAAGGTAACTTAAAATCTAGACCATTTTATGAACTTTATTTAAGTGATAATGGAAGTTTGAGCTAATCAATTTCATGTAGCTTACCCAAAAGTTAAATAGAGCTTCTCTCCGATCTTAATCACTTTCAAGTAAAGTACTAGAGATATAATAATCAGGTGTTTTATAAAATATCTATCAAGTTGCGAAGTTAGGCTGATAAACATTGATCAGATTTAACTGAAAATAAGACAATATTTTAATTTCCAAAAGAAACAGATAACCCTACAAACTTTCAAGTTGAATAATTTTTCAGTGCTAATTATTCACTTGCTTGTAGGTGAAATTTTCAGACGTCTTAGTTGAAAGTCATGACCAGTTGGGTAAACCAAGTTGAACGCGCTGATAAATAATCAGTGATGTCAATGAATGAAAGTTATTTTATTTCTCAAATTAATATAGGTAGGGAACTGTGGTTCAATGGTAACATGCTCAGGGTACAGGGTAAAACCTTGGAACGATCATGGGTGCGTACAACTTAAGAGTCTCACACTAGAACTAGACAACTGTCCAGCGTTGCCAGCGATTCTCCAACAGATGTCACACCATGATGAATGCCAAGTTGAAAACAAAAATCCTTACAAGCCTAAGAAATGAATTAGATACCATTCTGCTCTACCCAGTGAACCCGGTTTTTAACCTTTTATGAACTCTGTCATTTCCAAAATGAATTCAGAATCCTACTTCTTTACTCTGTTTATAGTTTTATACATCAAATGATATTTTACCTTATACAGAATGCTGCATATAATAACTTATTATTCGTATTTGACAGGTATCATCAGGTTCTTAGGATTATTTAAACCTAAAATTGATTTGCTACGAAGCATTTGGTTGTGCACAGAAAGCAGATAATTACAGCTAAGTATGGGTAACAAGGAAGTTACTTAGTACAGTAGGCATGGTAAGTTGTTATAATTATCCCATATAAAATACTGACGAAGGCAGACTGCGATCATTTATTCTACAAATAAAACAGAGTTTCCATCGTTCGTGTCATTTGATGCTTCAAACTTAGTTTTGGTCGTTTTAATCGGTTATGGGCGGTTTTCTCAAATACTTGGGCTACTGTATTTTTCTTCTCATATATGACGTTCAATGTGTTTACGCCTTTGTTGGTTTTATTCATTTTACAATCTCCTCTGATTGCATAATGTATTCACCCACATTTTGACAAAGTTTGCAACCTACTGCGATTCTTTTATCAAATCAAATGAGGAAAAATCATTAGAGCGAATGTCAACGTGGTTTGAAGCGAATAACTTTATCTGAAATGAATCCACCTGAAATTTTAAGCATGAACTGCTGGCGTTTGAAGGGAGAAGTGGATTACTCACAATCTTCTCTACCCTTCAATGTGTACCGTACTACTGGAATGATTACATTACATTATATTACAATGGTTTCTCCTAATGATTTCAAAGTTTTCGTCAAGATCCATGTAGCTTTACTAAGAAATTTGGAGGTTCTGTAGGCACCTTCATCAATACTCATAGGTGCATTTCAAGTTGCGCATACTTGAAATTCGCAAGTAATTGCACAGATAACATTACTGTAAAATACCGCCGAAAACATTCAGACAAATATCAGTTGATTTATATCACAAATATTTCAATGATGCTCGGTTGCAAATACTCTGAATTATCTAGTTTCTCTGATATATTCACGGAATTCACATCCCTAAAATTTTCTGGTTCTCTGTCGATATGTGGTAATTTTAATTCTTGCGATCATATCTTTCTTAAAACTCTGTCATCAATATTTTGTTAACTTCACATTACGTTATGTGCGACAATAGACTTGATATTCGTCAGTGCCACTGATATACATATAAGAAACTCGAAAGAGAGCCTCACCACTCTGTTCAGACCATTGTATTATATTATATGGCAAACTACGTAAAATAGACTTCACATCTTGGTATAAGAAAATTGTATATAGAAACTAGTCACATAGTAACATTTAATGTAGAAGAAATGTTACAATGTACAAACTAGAATATATTTAACAGCGACGTTTTGAATGACACTATTGGTGATGTGGTATGCTATTTAAGGTTCTGCCCGGATCTGTTGGCCCAAAGAAAAATGTTTTCTTTGCTTAAGAGACTAAGAAGAGAAAAAGAAAGACCAAATGAAACAGGTGATAACGTTGGTGTTCGTTGATTAAAAGTTTTAATTAGGTTGAAAACTGAACGTCTGAGTCTACTATATAGCCAGAAATGTTATTCATGCTGAAGACTCTTCCAGTATGTGGAAAGTGTTTAAGGACATCACTAGTAGTAATCGCACTAGTGAATAATTGCGTCTCTGCTTTAAACACACCGTTTATACACAAACCCAACTTTTCAATCCGACTCTGTTCAGCCATTTCCAGTGTGCAATATTGTTAAAAATTCACCAAGACAGGTGTTTTCAAATGTCTCAAATCCCTGAACCCTTCACACAGTTTGGGTCTGAATGTCAAGTTTCATATTCACAAAGTGTGTTGACATATATCCAACTATCCAAAAACTAAAATATTTAACAGATCGTTTTCAGAAAACATACTAGTCGCCTGAACGTCATTAGGATAGTCCTTATACCTAAGTCAGAGACTCCAGGCGCATGTTTGAGATTTCATCAGGTAACAATTACATCTCGGTCCTTAAAAATAATAAAGTAGCCAATAACACCTCTACCTGAACCGTCAACAAAAGGTTTTAGAGATAATAACCGATTTGCATATAAAAGTAAGAGGAGTAGTCTAGATGCTACCACTGTCTGATATCAA